GAGAAGACTGATTTTGACCAAATGACATACCCTTTAAGAAAATAGAGGGTGGGTGGGCGGAGCAGTACTTCCTAAGATAAAACGAAATATTGTAAGTATAAAGTTAAATTTAGCCCCACCCACCCACCGGTTCTTTCAATTTTTTTTGTTCTGAAATAAGTAAATTTTATAGTAAATAGTACAAAAAAAGTTACAATTTCCGCTTTTGTATTTTGGTTACAGCCTAGTTCTATTAGTTCCCAGTCTCAGTCTACAGAAAAATTTATGCTTGACCCCGCCCACCCACCCTCCTGCAACTCTACAGAAGAATATCTAATTAACCCCGCCCACCCTCCCCACTTCCATTTCATTGATTAATTTTATATGCTCTGATAGGAAATATTTAGAAAATTAACCCAGTAGGGAGTTAAAGGCTATAGCGAAAAAAATATTATTCATTTTGAACTTTGAAAGTTGTTTTTAGCCACATTCCTACCAATCTTTGTGAGTCGCTAAAATAAAATATGGCAATTTTTCCAATTTTCAATATACAACTTTGCCGAAAGATGTATTTTTAACTGAGCTTTTCCAGAGCAGCTACAAAAATTACCAAAATATTTAGAATGCTAATTTTCATCTCGAATTCCAGAATTTGTTTTCGGCTTTATTTTTCAAATTTCTTAGGATTTTTTTAGGATCGTCAAAATAAAATACGGTAATTTTTTGGGGTTTTTTGAAAAAGTCAATTTGAAACCGCATATATAATAATAATAATAATCCTTAATTCGGGACCATCAACAGATTTTTTCGATTTAGCTGGTCGAAAAATTAAAAAAAATTGAACAATAGAAACATCCAAGAACTGAAAAATCGAAAAATCGAGAAATCAAACAATCGAAAATAAAAATTAAAAAATTGAAAAATTAAAATTTAGAAAAATTTAAGATTAAAAAAACTGAAAAACTGAAAAATCGAGAAATTGGAAAATTCCAAAACAAATTACGAAAAATTGGAAAATCGAAACATGGGAAAATTGGAAAATTGAATAATCGAAAAGCCGAAAAGGAGAAAATCTAACAATGAAAAACTGAAACATCGAGAAATCGAAAAATCAAAAGATCAAGAAACTGAGAAGTCGAAAAATGGAAAAATTGAGTGATGGAAATAGCCCGAAGTCGAAATTTTAAAAACTGAAAAATTTAAAACTGAAAAATTGAAAATTTGAAAATTAAAGAGAAGCCAGCAAACTGAAACATCTAAATCTTGAGAAATTAAAAAATTGAAAAATCGAAAAATCAAAAATTTTAAAAATCGAAAAATCTATAACCCTAAAACCGAGAAGTCAAAAAATCGAAAAACCGAGAAATCGAAACATCCAAAAACTGAAAAATCTAAAATTTAAAAATTGAACAATAGAATCGAAGAACTGAAAAATCGAAAAAGTAAAAAATCGAGAAATCGAAAAAAATTAAACATTGAAAAATCCCAAAACTGAAGTGTCGAAAAATTGAGAAACTGTTAAAATTTTGTGATTTCTCAGTTTGTCAATTTATCGATATTCCCATGTTTCAATTTTTCGATGATTCGATTTCTACATATTTCGATTATAGAAAAAGCATTTTTCCGTTGTATTGTCGGTTATCTACTAGCAAGAGATATTATTAGTCTTCTCCGCCTCCTCGCTATCGGTTTCCATAATCCCATAAATGCTGACAAAGACCAAAATTGAAAGGAAAACTTTTTGAGATAATATTTTAAACTATAAACTAAACATAAATGAATATTTATTTAAAAAAATTTACAGATAGAGAAGATGGGAATCGAAAAAACTGACTAATATTATATAATAAAATTTTCACCATGAGTAAAAAATTGGTCGAAGTTTATTTCGACAGATCTTTGAAAAAACATAAAATTAGATTTTGATATAAAATAAAAACCAGCGGCGTAAATAACACCCTTCCAGCCCCTAAGCCAAGAGAGCGCAAAATGCAAAGAATTGTGCTAATTATACAAGTATGAACAATGTAAAATATATTTAAAGCAGATAACCAACGGGAAAAATGGCCTCTCAGCAGTAATAACAAGCTTTAATTTCAATATACATCGAAAGAATGTCACGTGGTAATATATTTGGTTTGAATGAGTTTGTCGCTTCAAAACGGGACTAAAATTATTAATTAAGCCACAGTCGAACAGAATGTTCTGAATATTATTATTATAATTCTTATTAAATAAAGACGTGCGTATTCTCACTCTCGTTCTTAATTTGATTAATAAAAAATTTGTTATGACGCCAAATTTGGCATCAAACGTGGGACCACCGGTTACCTACTCACTGAGCCACGGTCGGGATATCATATGCTAATGGTAAACTGTTAATATAATGTGCTGATTTTTTTATAGACGTTTAGGGAAGTATTTAAATAATTTTAAAATAGAAATCTACGAAATGGCGTCATCAAATTTTTGGTGGAGATGATTAACCAAATTCTGGTTAGCGATTTACCATCTACATGATTTCCTCATATACATACAAAATTTGACAACAATCTGTCGAGTAGTTTCGGATATTACGTGTCTAATAAAAATTGACACAGACGCTAGATAGACAGACCCACAGACGGAAACGGGAGATTACTTTTTCGCATTCTAGGGATTGAGAAAACATAGAAGTGGTCCGTCCCATGGACTCGATTACTATACTATCTTAGCTTACTCAGGAATAAACAATAGTAAGCGGTGTCCAAAGAAAAAACTTGAAATTCGGAAAAAAATTACTTGAAGACATTTAAAAAAAAGTACCTTGTTTATATTATAAAGCCAAATCCCAATGTACCTTTAATACGAAAATATCTATTAATTTGGAAACCGACCAATTTTGGAAATAGAAATCACCATTTGACCCCAGAGTAATATGTTTTAGGGACATTGATTGGTGAGAAAAAATTATTTTCTGTTAATTTTTTTCGTATTCTGTTGGTCTTGAAAAAAGATTTTGTTGCAATTGTCTGCTATTTGATGAAAAACAGAACTAAATCACCTTTCACAACGGTTTTATAAAATGGACTTAAAGCATTATTATACGTATAAAGCTTTAAATGATCATGAAAATTTAGAATACCACAGCAATACTACACCGGTTGTATCTTAATGCACTTTTGGTACTAATACAGAAGTATTAATTTAACTTAATTTTGTAATAAAAACATTTTCTCTAAAAAATCTTTCCAAAGGGGGCCTGAAAATATTTTTTGCCAGGGGCCTTAAATGTGCCAGGCCGACGCTGCTTTTCCACATATCTGACATCATTTGGCACTAAATTCGGGCACACTGTATTGTATACTGTAATATTACACTTTTTGACGTGTCAATTTCTCGATATTTCGATTTTTCGACTTCTCCGTTTTAAATTTTTCGGTTTTTCAATTTTTCGATTTTTATATTTTCAAATTTTTCGATGTTTCGATTATTCAATTTTCCGATTTTTTTTCGGTTTTTAGATTTCTCGAGGTTTCAAGTTTTCGATTCTCCAACTTTCCGATTTTTCATTGTTTCGATTTTTTAAATTGTGTTTCTAGATATCTCGTTGCTTTAATTTTTCGATTTTTAAATTTTCCATTTTTCAATTTATACCATATTTATACCTTATCTGGGCAAGTCATCTGAAACTTCGCTATAATTTCTTGATTTTGGTAGTTTTAACCTGGCTCGTTTAAAACTTCCGTTACATTTTCTATTGTACGAGTACTAAATGTCTGAAAAAATGTAACTCTTTCAGATCAATAGTGTCGGCACACGAAGACTCAATAACTCACCATTCATTGGTGCGTGTTCACGTAGGGTATTTATATTTATTATTGAAAGCACACTTCTTATGCAGTAAAATAAAATTAGAATAATTTCAATAGGTGTTACAGAAAAAGAACTACAACCCATAACAGGAGAGTTTGAAAATCATGCGCTGCACCCTATTCTTAAGAATTTTTGGCACCGACGCTCATGACTAACGTTTATTACTTCGGACAAAAAGCGGTAAAACTTGCAACCTGCAAAGTAATTAAATCTACATCCAACCGTGACAACTTCTTATCGCGAGCTGGCACCTCTCCCTATTTTTAGCTGATCCAAGCAAAATTCCATGCGTGAAATGAATATTTCACTCCACTCTGCAAGAAAAACGCGCTTAAACGATCTACTTTACACGACACTTTCTAATCTACTCTTGTTCAGATTAATGTCCGATAATAAAACGTTCCTTCTGACAAATTGAAATGATCTCTTCGCGTGTACATCCCCAGGGAACGCCACCCCTCGGCCGGTGCCAGGCGCGCACCACCTCCATCAACAAGTGGTGACAATAGTCAGAAGAGCCCCGAATGCCAATGAGTGGCGACTTCGTGACGATTTTTTCCAAAAGTGAAACAGCGAACACTTTGGCCAAAAGTCAACTTTAATAGCAGATCAAAAATAATGCCCGAGAAGGATACAGAATGATGTATAGTCTGCCAAATATTGAACGATTATAAAATTCAGGTATTGTATAAGGCAAACCCACAGTTATAAATATTGTCGACGGTACCTACACTCTACATGTTGTTAGAGAATTTGTAAAATTATGCATGTTATGTTATGCATTAGTTCACATTGTTGTTATTCATTGCTGGATGAGTAATCGCCATTACACTCGAGTGGAATACTATACTTTTCTACGACTAGTGCAAAAAAAAGCACTAATATCTATTTTTATTATTTCATACTACATTTTTTGCACCCAAGAACCATAAATCACACCACATTAATGGTAGGTCCTAGACCCAGACTTACGCTATTTTATTTATACGTCTTGCATTTTTATTCAATTAGAACTAGAACAGAATTAGAACAGTGCCTTTGTCTGTCACACTTTAATTTTTGACATGATTTCCAAGAACTTCGATAAAAACCCTCATCGATCCGCGACGTGCGCCACAGCCGGCAGGTCAAACCCACGTGACAATTTTTTGTAAAAGGTACTTTACCTCTTCGTCGACGAGCCCACGTGACAGCGTCTGGTAGGCCAGAAGCGCGCTGTACGCCAGAAGAGCGGCCAAAGAAACAGTCTGTAACACTCGTCGGTGTCTGGCGTACATCTTTTCCGAATTCACCTGGTCACCGAGGCACGACATGGGGGCGCACACACGGTCCAGCACATGCTTTCGCAACTCGGGCGGATACTTGCAGGGGCGGAGGCACCGACGGACGTAAACAACGGGGGACAAAGCGGCAACACAGTTGCCCGAAAGAGAGACGGTGTTCAACTGACTCGGGCACCATGTTGTGTGCTGGTTGTTGTTTGTGTTGGGGTCCCCTCGTCCCGCGGAGATGGTGGCTTGTGGAAGGGGCACACGCCAAGGCTTTGGCGCGTTTTGTTACCTTTCAATGGTACGGGGCCGCGAGTGCACGTTCAGCGGTCTTGAATGATGGGGCGATTAAAGAGGATGGGTGAGGGTACCGGGATGGTCAAGGGTGGACATGGGATGGACAGGTATGAGGGTGCTGGGGGAGGAGGAAGAATAATTAGGGCTTGAGAAGGGTTTATGGAAAATAATGGGTATAAGCAATGTGAGAGATAATATATTAGTACGGGAGGGAAGAGTGAAAACTTTTTAATAATGTAGTGTTTGGGTCAGTACTACTGGGATCAAATTGTTAAAAAAAAAAATACCCAAAGAAGTATTTATTTTACTACATTATTACTTCCTGAGCGTAAGGTAAAGAAGTATAGTAATCGAGTCCATCGAACAAAACTACTGGACCCAATGTTGTCAAGTTTTGATATTATGAATATCATGTAGATGGTATAGCACTAATCAAAATTTGGCTAATCATCCCCTCCACCAATAAGATGACATCATTCAAAATTCAGAATAATTACATATTTTTTTTTATTTTATAAATTAAGCTACTTCTACACTTGTGATATATGAATCTGTTTCTCGTTTCATCAATTTTTCAAGATCACGATTTTTATTTCTCATTTTTCAGATTTTTTAAATTTCATTTTCTCGATTTTATATCACAATTTTTCGTTTTTCATTTCCTTTGTGTTTCAATGTTTCAAATTTTCAGTCTTGATTTCTCAATCCTCAATTCAGTTTCCACTTCAATTCTCACTTCGCTTCTTACTCGAATTCTCAGTTCAGGTCTCACTTCAATTTTCAGTTTAATTCTCAGTTCAATTTTCACTTTAATTTTCACTCCAATTTTCGCTCCAATTCCTAGTTCAATTCGCAATTCAATTCTCAATTCAATTCTCACTTCAATTCTCACTTCAACTGTCACTTCAATTCTCAGGCCTATTTTCAGTTAATTGTCAGTTCAATTTTCAGTTCAATTCTCCCTTAAATTCCCCCTTCAATTCTCTCTTCAATTCTCACTTCGCTTCTCACTCGAATTCTCAGTTCAGGTCTCAGTTCAATTTTCAGTTTAATTCTCAGTTCAATTTTCACTTTAATTTTTACTCCAATTTTCGCTCCAATTCGTAGTTCAATTCGCAATTCAATTCTCAATTCAATTCTCACTTCAATTTTCCCTTCAATTCTCACTTAATTCTCACTTCAATTCTCACTTCAATTCCCACTTCAATCCTCACTTCAATTCTCAGTTCAATTCTTACTTCAATTCTCAGTTCAGTTTTCAATTTCAATTCCTCGATTTTCCTATTAAATTTTTAAGTTTTGTAAATTTTAGATATCCAGTTATCCGATTTTCCGATTTCTTTTATTTTATTTCGACTTTGCAACACATATTTCGTTTTTTCGATTTTGCACTTTTTCGATTTCAATTCTCAGATCTATTTTCAGTTCAATTCTCAGTTCAATTTTCAGTTCAATTCTCAGTTCAATTTTCAGTTCAATTCTCAGTTCAATTGTCAATTCAATTCTCATCTCAATTCTCAATTCAATTCTCAGTTTCATTGACAATTTAATTTTCAGTTCAATTCTCAGTGCTATTCTCACTCCAATTCTCAGTTCAATAGCAGTTCGATTCTCAATTCAATTCTAGGTTCAAGTCTGAGTTCAGTTTTCAGTTTAATTCTTAGTTCAATTCTCACTTCAATTGTCACCTCAATTCTCAGGCCTATTTTCAGTTCAATTCTCTGTTCAATTTTCAGTTCAATTCTCCCTTAAATTCCCCCTTCAATTCTCTCTTAAATTCTCACTTCAGTTTCCACTTCAATTCTCACTTCGCTTCTCACTCGAATTCTCAGTTCAGGTCTCTGTTCAATTTTCAGTTTAATTCTCAGTTCAATTTTCACTTTAATTTTCACTCCAATTTTCGCTCCAATTCGTAGTTCAATGCGCAATTTAATTCTCAGTTCAATTCTCACTTCAATTTTCCCTGCAATTCTCACTTTAATTCTCACTTCAATTGTCACTGCAATTCAATTCCCACTTCAATCCTCACTTCAATTCTCACTTCAATTTTCAGTTCAATTCTTACTTCAATTCTCAGTTCAGTTTTCAATTTCAATTTCTCGATTTTCCAATTATTAAATTTTTCAGTTTTGTATATTTTGGATTTCCAGTTATCCGATTTTTCGATTTCTTTTATTTTATTTCGACTTCGTAACACATATTTCGTTTTTTCGATTTTACACTTTTTCGATTTCAATTCTCGGACCTATTTTCAGTTCAATTCTCAGTTCAATTTTCAGTTCAATTCTCAGTTCAATTGCCAATTCAATTCTCATCTCATCTCAATTCTCAATTCAATTCTCACTTTAATTGACAATTTAATTTTCAGTTCAATTCTCAGTGCTATTCTCACTCCAATTCTCATTTCAATACCAGTTCAATTCTCAATTCAATACTCACTTCAATTCGCACTCCAATTCTCAGTTCAAGTCTGAGTTTAATTTTCAGTTTAATTCTTAGTTCAATTCTCACTTCAATTGTCAATTCAATTCTCAGGCCTATTTTCAGTTCAATTTTCAGTTCAATTCTCCCTTAAATTCCCTCTTCAATTCTCTCTTCAATTCTCACTTCAGTTTCCACTTCAATTCTCACTTCAATTCTCAGTTCAATTCTTACTTCAATTCTTACTTCAATTCTCACTTCAATTCCCACTAAAATTCTCAGTTCAGTTTTCAATTTCAATTCCTCGATTTTCCAATTTTTAAATTTTATCAGTTTTGTAAATTGTGCTCGAATTCTCAGTTCAGGTCTCAGTTCAATTTTCAGTTTAATTCTCACTTCAATTTTCACTTTAATTTTCACTCCAATTTTCGCTCCAATTCGTAGTTCAATTCGCAATTCAATTCTCAATTCAATTCTCACTTCAATTCTCCCTTTAATTCTCACTCCAATTTTCAGTTCAGGTCTCAGTTCAATTTTCAGTTTAATTCTCAGTTAAATTCTCACTTCAGTTTTCACTCAAATTTTCGCTCCAATTCGCAGTTCAATTCGGAATTCAATTCTCACTTTAATTTTCACTTCAATTCTCACTTCAATTCTCAATTTAATTCTCACTTCAATTCACAAGTCAATTCTCAATTCAGTTTTCAATTCCAATTCCTCGATTTTCCAATTTTTAAATTTTTCAGTTTTGCAAATTTTGGATTTTCAGTTATCCGATTTTCCGATTTCTTTGATTTTAATTCGATTTTGCAACACATATTTCGTTTTTTCGATTTTGCACTCTTTCGATTCTTAAGTTTTTGATTTTTAAATTTTTCAATGTTTTAATTTTATACTTTTTCGTTTTTTCATTTTTGATTTTTCAATTCTACAATTTTGTAATTTTTCCATTGTATTGATTCGAAATGTTGAAAAACTGCAAAATTAAACATCGAAAAACTAGAAAATCGGGAAAAAATGAAAAAACAAAAAATTGCAAAACCGTGAAAGTGGAAAATCATAAAAGTGCAAATCAAAGAACTGAAGAATCGAAAAATTGAAACACTGAAAAACTGAAAATCGAGAAACTTAAAAATCGAAAACAATTAGGGAATCGAAAAATTGGAAGAAAAACGAATCGAATCAAAAAATTGGAAATCCCAAGAATCCTAAAATTGAAAAATTAAAAAATCGGAAAAACTCAAAAATCGAAAAACTGAAAAAACAAAAAATTACAAAGTAGAAAAAGTGGAAAATCGAAAAATTACAATCGAAGAACTGAAGTAACGAAAAACTGAAAAACTAAAAATCGAAAAAATTAATGAATCGAAATCAAATCGAATCGAAAAGTTTTAAAATCCAACTTTTAAAAATTATAATCATTATGACATTTATTTAAAATGCAAACTAAAAAAATTGCAAATCAAAAATTGAAGAAACAAAAATTGAAGAAACGAAAATTGAAAAATTAAAAATTAAAAACTGGAGAAACTCAAATCGAAAAATTGCAAAATCTAGATTCCAAAGTTGGAAAATTGAAAAACTAAAAAATTTAAACTTGAAAAGTGGAAAAATTACAAATCGAAAAACTGAAGAAACAAAAAAAATTAAAAATCGAAGAATTGAAAAATTAAAAAATTCAAGTCAAGCCACCGGTTTTTAATCTAGAGAGATTCCAATTTTTTTGTAGGTATGCACTAAAATTTAATAACATGATTATAAGAGGTTGGACGGCACTGTAACTAATGTGACTCGATCTTGAAATGTGTGGCAATTAGTAACTTTTATGAAATAGAAATATATCTGTGTCCTTGTTATGCTCCGTCTTTTCGACAGCAGGTATTTTTTGCTTCCAGTATGGCGATCCTGTTACTGTCATTTGGCCGTCAATTGCCTTGGTGGTAACACGTCTTCCACGACTGTTTGCTGGTTACCGGTGACACTTTCTCGTTGAATAGGGCTGGAGTTACTTTGGGACTGGAATAGTGTTCTTTCCGGTCCGTTAACTCAATAATTCTAGTACAGTCTGTCGTAACCTCAAATCGTAAACACATCAACCTTTCGTTGACAGATAGCGAAAATTACTAGCCTCGCGCTATCTTTGTTTAACACATAGGTTAGGTTCCTCTCTGTCGAATTCCGACCACAGGCAGTTTGCCGTACTTTCTAAAAGTAATAGTAGATCTAGTGACTTTAACTGTAACAGGGTAGGACAATCGAGGATGATAAATAAAACGGCCCATGTCGTTACCCTTTCATGGAAACATTGGCGTTTAAGTGAGAAAATTTCTAATTCTTCATGTATATACCAAATTTGACAACAATCGCTTCAGCCGATGCGGAGACTATCTGCTTAATTTAAAAATCAACACCTAGACCTATTTTTTCGTACTACAGGGGTTATGATTACGAAACATCGACAAAGCACTAAAGTCCCCTGATGGATTTGATTACATCATTAGCTTACGCTTGGGAAGTAAAAATGCAGAAATGTTGGAATTCTTGCAAATTCACTGTCAAACTTGACGGTTATTTGGGCATTATTTCACATGAAACATTTTCGGTCTTGCTAATTAAAGAAAAAGCATAAATACAAATGTCACGTTGCCGTTTTATTAGTTTTTAAGTAGGTAATCCTCGGAAATTAATCCATGGGTGGTTTCCCCATTGTAGACCATATCTTTTCTAGAATAATTTATGAAATAGAACCAGATGACAGGTACGAGGGCGCTTGTGCGTAGGAATTAATTGGAGCGGTAGGGGTTAAGAACTTATGCATAATAAACGTAGGGGAACTAAATGTGTTGTAGATATATGCAACGATTAGGGCTATTATTGCAAAGAAGAAATACTTAAGCCAGGTGGAAACATTAAACAACAATGGAAGTATTATACAACGGATCTCTTCCAGAACTCCATAAATTATTACTTTGTAGCACTTAGTTCTGATAGTGGGTTTATGGTAGCTCCAGGCTCTCCTAATTGTTAAGATTGGTATAAATAAATTACGATAAAATCGATATTAACACAACGTAGCCTATAAAGTGTTCTTAAATAAAACCACAAATAATAAAACCGGATGAATTTCTGGTTTATGTTTTCACTTTAGGTCTTATTTTAATTTAATAACAGAATCCAGCGCAAAACGTGGGCAAGTTTATAATAAAAAACATATATTCAAGATTTAACGTCTGCACGTATGAGGCATTCTCTGCAGGGTCTTATGCCCAAGAACCGTAACGCTGTAAATACGCTTTATTACAAAAGTTGCTGCATAAAATTGAAATAATTCGAGCACAACCTGCGCTATTGTTAGTTGCATTGATTAAATACAATAAATATTGAATGCCCAGTCCGCAATATGCACCAATTCCTGGAAAAATCTCCAACAGCAATTTTTTAGTGTTTGGTTTAAACATTCAAAACCTGCAACCATTTATGTGAAGTTTAAAACAAGCAGTTATAAATTAAATGAAAACATCCGCATGTGTGTGTGTTTTGCTATAGTATCTACCCAATGAACGAATTTCTGCCTAAATAAGCGACTTAAAAATTCGCTGGATGTGGTGGACTTAATTCGACCATAAGCTGGGACCCAGTTCAAGCGCAGCTAACCACTTTAAAACCAAATTCGATTCTCCGCTTAGGAATGTTAACTGTTCTCAAAATTAAATATGCGTCTTTAACATGAATCCCTTTTCTTTTGTAGCTACTATAATTTTATAGAGTGAAATTTTATTAAAGTGCAGACTTTACGTCTCAATGCGTGCGTTTATTACTCTTCCTAAAGGTTTAAGAGGAATTAATAATAAAACTGAGAGAGGAGTTTAATAAATTTCTCGAATAAGAAAGAAAAAGGAAAAAATAATTAAAACACAATATGTAATGCGATAGTAGATAAAGACCCTGACTATCTAAAGTAGACATCAATATTTGTAAAGATATTATTCTGAACACTTATTGTTGTATGTTTACAATATACTGGTGAACTATAGGATGATAAAGAAACTTGTAAATGAAATTTAAGAAACGGCAGACAACAACAAAAACATAAACTAAAGTTTCAAGTGTATACACTTCACATTGTTTTTCACGGTGTTAGGGTATTTTGTCGCCTCTCTGCATCGATGAAAACAAAAGTTAAATGTTTCACAATATCGCTCTATTATGATGGAATGTTCTTAAAACACACTAAAATAGTCTCGACAAAACAAAACTTTTTTACCCGTTAACATGCAAAACAGCAGTTTCGAAAAGAAACGTTTTTCTCACCCCACCTTTCCCTAAGTTTCGCAATTTTCAGTAGTTGTTCCGGAACGCCCGTCAGGATCAAATATAGATTTAGGCGCTCAAACTTCGGATTTTTATAATCTTGCGCCCATGTCCTGACACGACAGGTTGCTCGCTTTTTCTCGAGGATCGTTTAAAGTGAAATATTATTTTTCTGGACGAGGAATGATCATCAGTACATCCAGTGAATCAGCAGTATTGAGGAAAATCATCAGTCTACAATTTGACATTGTTAAGTTTCACTGACATCATCACTTCATCTGTCACCGTTTCCTAAATTCCCAGTGAAATAATCCCAATTCTGAAAATGCTGAAACTCATTTTTCCACTACTCACCACCTTATCCTCCCTGCTTATCTGTCGCACGACTACGTATAACGAGTGTGGAGAAGAGCACTTTTACTACGACAAAAACGATATTGAAACTTTAAAATGCGCTTTGGAGTATTTGGAAAACTCGCAGAATTACACAAATACTTCCACAGATGAGGCTGAGAAAAGCCCAGCTTCGCCCGCGGTTAGTGTATTAACAATTACCCGTGATAAAGTGATCCACCCTATGTACGAAGAATCATTTACGGAGATATTGTGCAAGAAATGTAGCATTCAGTTATCAGATGCTAAACTAGCAATGACAATAAAGTGTTTTCAGTGCTTGGATGCTGAGACTAACACCCAGACAACTGCAACAGAATTTAGAAAAGTATTGATTTACTAAAACCCGAAATCACTAGTTTAAATTGAATTTCGCGCGCTGATAATGACATTACCGTGGCGCTGTCGGCACCTTCCGGCGGCCACCACTATAACTATTTCTTTTACCGTGTGTTCGTGACAAACATGGCTCCTACAAAGCCAAAATCAGCGGAAAAGTCCGGTAAGTAGTATTACTTTCACTAAAAAACACTGAAATGAATGGCTTAAATCATAATCCTTGCATTATGAATAAGTTCCAGCATGATTTACGCGAATTAACACCCGTGTAAAGTGTTTGACACTCGAACCACGCGGCCGTGTCCACATGCCCCTTTTTGTAGCCCTAAATCTCCCAAACCACCCTACCTTTCACCCTTACAATGATGATTAAATGTGTGGGAATCTCTTTGAAGCCCGTGAAAATACCCAATACACAAATCTGACCCTGTTTACATCCTCCAATAATTGAGGTTATGTCGTTCCATACTCAAGTCACACTTTTCCAGCTCCCAAAAAAGAAGAGAAGAAGAAGCCCGCCTCAGCCCCAGCCGCTGCAGCTGGCGCTAGCACTTCCTCCAAAACCCCAGCTCCGGCCCCTAAAGCCGCCGCCAAAGCTGCAAGCAGTGGATCTTCGAAGCCATCTGAGAAGAAAACCACTGCCAAAACTCCAGCGCCTAAGCCCGCGGCCGCCGCTAAAGCTGCGACAACTGGCAAAGCGGCGCCGGCCCCTGCCGCCGCCGCCAAGGCTAAAGCTAAACCCACAGCGAAGACCGCGGCTAAACCTGCTGCCAAAGCCGCTGCTAAACCTACGGCTAAAGCGACAGTGAAGAAGGCGACTGCTAAGGTTGGAGCTAAGCCGAAAATTCCACCAAAGGCACTGGTGACGAAGCCCAAGAAGACGGTGCCCGTTAAACAGCAAAAGGGGGTTGGAAAGAAGGTAGCGGCACCTGCAGCGCCGGTTCAGAAGGCGTTGAAAATACAGAAGAAGGTGATCAAGGGGCCTCATGGCACTCACGCAAGGAAGATCAGGACTTCGGTGCACTTCCATCGCCCGAAGACATTCAGACCACCCAGAAATCCTAAATACCCGAGGAAGTCGGTACCGAGTAGGACTAGGATGGACGCGTATAACATTATTAAATTTCCGTTGACTACGGAAGCAGCGATGAAGAAGATTGAGGATAATAATACTTTGGTGTTTTTGGTCCACACTATGGCAAACAAGCACCATATCAGAGCTGCAGTTAAAAAGTTGTATGACATTAATGTGGCTAAAGTCAATACTTTGATTAGGCCTGATGGGAAGAAGAAGGCGTACGTCAGATTAGCGAGGGACTACGACGCGCTGGATGTTGCCAACAAGATTGGGATAATATAAAAGGTATCTTCAATTTTAATTTTTTGTACATTTATGACATGAATAAAGTTGGAGATGCTCTTTCTTAAGTTTATTGATAAACTTTTTTAATAAACAATAAAATTAATCGTCTATGTGTTTGTAAGCACAAGTTTCTGATTGATGGAGACACCCATCTGGGTGGTTTTTGAAAAACCAACAAGGTTTGTCCTTATATTTGCTAGATTCCTTTAAACTTAAAGGTTTCTGTAAATTTACCATGCCCCAGCGCACATTAAATATGTATTTACGGTTCTTGAGCAAAGTTTGTAGCCCTCCACATTCATTTTTCAGTGACTGTTTATCTTCAGGGGATATTTTATCACAAAGTTCGTTCAAGTTTCTTGTTCCACCTTGATTCCAAGATTTTCCGTCAAACTCCCGTCTTAGAGGAGACAAAGTTTCCAATAATTCCTTAACAACAAAGTTAGTTATTCGTGTGATTAAGTCTCTGTTCAGACGAGAGCAATTCTGGACGGGTTCAACCGCATTTCTGGGTTTAAACTCCTTCAAATTGTCAGAAATTAAATTCGAAATTTGTTTTTTAATTTCGCCAATTTGTGAATCATCAAAATTGTCTCTGACACCCACCAAACAGACTCTCCTTGTCGACGGAATCCTTAATTTGTCAATGGAAGTTGTAAAGCCACACATATTTGAAAGATTTTCAACATAATCCAAGTAGTCTCCATACTGACTCAACTTAATGTTCACTCGTGCGTACTTACAACCATTCAAATCATATGGGCAACAAGGTAAAACGAAATAGTTTGTTCTGTTTGAACTATTGAGTGCAATTATGGGAATCCAAGGGGTCAATTCATCGGAATGGTTACCAATAACCCATGTTGCTTGAGGAAATGTAGAATCCGGTTTGACAATCCCAATTCTTAAATCAGCTTGATCTGAATACAATTCCCAAACTTTACGGCTCCTAACATCCAACCCAAATCCTGTATAACCTTCTCGGTTTAAAATGTACACTAATAGACCGTTACCGCAGCCACAATCCACGAAATTGATATCCTGAGCTCCAATCTTACGCCACAAACAAATTAAGTACGTCGCAATAGCAATATCCTCAAAAATGTATTTTTGGGGATCAGTTTTTGCTTTGGTAGGCCACTGTCGTACCAACTTTTCCCCATACTTCTCTTTGAGACTGGAATAAAGCGTGTAATACTCGTCAGACGCTATCAAACTCAAGGACCCAACACCTGCGTCTTCAAGAACACCATTTTCCGCCCATTTCAAGACTTTTGGAAACAATTTATCTGATAGCCACTCGGCAGCACTGGTGTCAGCATCCTCAAAATTGTTCAAAACGATTCTTAGATTCCCACTTTGCGTCAACTCTATGTGATACGGAAAACGAGGCGCTACCAGTGGGTGATCTTGCTCTTGCACTGCAAAGAACGTCGCCGTTCGCTTTTCTTTGTCAAAAATCACAACCTCGAGACATTTGTGTGGGGACTGTCTTGGAAATAAAACGCGCAATGAAATGAACTGGCCATCGACGCTGTTGTGAAAATCTTCTCTTGTAACGTTTGTGATTGTGGCTTCTTTGTCGTAATTTTCTGTAACGGCTTTGATAAAATCAGGCGTGAGTTTTGTGAAGTCTTGTGCTTTGCGAATTTTGTAAATAAGCGCTTCCCATGTAAAAATTTCATGGAGGCGTTTAATGCGGGGGCAATGGAAGCCAATTTTGCAGAAAAAAATTGGGGAAACCGTTGCTAGTTTCCTGTTGACTACGTGGGGTTTATCATGGTACACTAAAACTGAATTCCAGAAGCTTTCTAAAGGGAGGAGGGTAGAACTAGTCGCTAGTGGAATTTGGTCCATTCTAGTTCTTCTTATCAAGGTACTAGAAAATTATTATTTGTTTACACGTGTTATTAAATAATAAAAAATGTATTACCTTTTTTAAAACCCAGTCAGCATCCTCATATGATCGCGCTACAATTTGTCTAATTCTCTCTGGATCTGATTCTTTTACGTGTTGTTTAAAACTCTGTAAGTGCTTTGTTTATATTATATTGATAAGAGGACGTGGAACTTACCTGTTTAATCATAAATTTGTAATGTTTTTTGGGGCCCTCTGGTAATTTATCACACTGACGTATTAAATACTTGAATAAAACTTTCGGGGGCGTGTCACCTTTCGATGTGCAAAAATTTATTGTATTTCGGGTGAAACGTGGCTGGAAATATCGATAACAAAGTTTTAGCATGTTCTGACAAAAAGTTAGGTTAGGTGAGGTTAGGTTCATCATTATTTTACAAATAATTAACTATAATCCTTTGAACAGGTGTTGTAATAATTAGAATTATTATAAATATAAACAACTGTTTCTTTGTAATTCACGTGAATTAATAATTAAAATTAATTTTCTGGGTTAAGTGACGTAACCTTTGACACATGGTAGTGAGGTTATTGTCATGGTAGAAGGAGTCTCCTTCTACCATGGTTATTGTGTCAATTTTTTTGACTATTATTTCAGCATTTCATACTCCTACAAATGGTTTCGCATTGACATGACACGGTTTATTTATGTATAATTAGGTTTTACAACACATTTTTATTATCGCTATTGAGTGTCAATAAAAGTAACACAATTAGAGTGAACAGTTCATTATTTTGTCTATTTATCTATAATTCTATATGCAAACAATTAATTGTCTCCATACTGAATTAATAAAAAAACTTGTTGAAATTTTGAAAACATTACGTGACGTAACCTTTGCCACCGCTGTCAACCCCTGGCCACCCTAACCTCAATCCCCCTCAGTGTTGTCCTCCCAATTTCAACAACTGAGATGGTTTTTCGGCGTATTTTTCATCCCCAAGTGACTATTTTTTTCCGAAATTATTGCGACAAGTAAGTACTACTATTTAATAACCCCTAGCCATCAATTTCTAAATCGAAGGAAACAATTCCAATATTTTAACCGAAACGGCGATACCGGAAGTTCTCGGACCCTCACGTCTAATCTTTTGCCTAAAGACGATCGAATTTTTAACGCAATTGGGGCAACTGAAGAACTACTTAGTTACATAGGCTTAGCTCGCGAACACGCCCAAGAAGTCGAACATGAATATGCAGATAAGCTCAAACGCATTCAAACGATCGTTATAGATTTAAGTACCGCGATTTCACGCTCACATGATATTTCTAAAAAGTTGATACCGAAAAACTACACCAAGGAACTAGAAGACTGGATTCACGAATACTCAAAGGAACTGCCACCACCAGAGCAATACATTATTCCGGTAAGTGTGATGGGGTTGATTAATTTGGTTATTAATGAGTGAATTGTAGGGAGGAGGGGTGGCGAGTGCGTCGCTGCATGTAGCACGGTCTATATGTCGCAGGACGGAACGCACAGTGGTGCCCCTGGTTAGAGAAGGGCGCCTGCATGACGAAGCTCTGATTTACTTGAATAGATTGGGTGATTTTTTGTTTGTTGTGTCTAGAATGGCTGCTAAGCTTGATAAGAGAACTGAGTCAATTTATATTCCCAAACCTGATGAAAAAGTGCAAGCTCAATAATTAGTGTAGGTGTGTATTTATATTTTGTATATACATTGTTACTGACAAGTAGGAAGTTTACAGAGATTTTAATAAAATTAATTTACAAGCGTTACATGTATTCAAGCCCTGAAGCCATTTCCTTATATGATAGTACTTCAAGGTAGGAGCCGTTTTTTATTTCTGCTTGGACCATCTGATCGATTTCTTTGAAGTAGCCAGGATCTATTACAAAAATCAGAGTTAATTGGTCCTCATCACGATCTTCTTTTTCTATTTCAACGCTTTCAAATTTGCTAATTTTATCTTTAAATTTCTTCGCTATTTTCCCTTTTGAGATAACTTTCAGCCGCATCTTCGCCCTCTCCAACGGTATCTGCTCTTTCAGGAGTTTAATCACCTGAAGAGCTTGTTGTTTAGCGGATTGGTTAGGTTTAATAGAGTAGTGCGCATCTTTCATCGCTTTTTCAATGATTGTGACAGGGTATGGTCGTTTCAACTCCGGGTTGAGGCATTTTTCAGCTACCGTGGTGGCGATATCCTTGAAAAGTTGGTCGTTTTGACTTTGGCGCTCTTTATCAGAGACCTGCAGCTCCCCTTTCATCAGAATTTCTTTACAGATTTCTGTTTGGTCATCTTTTCCAAACGCTTTAATTAAATCTTCTTTCTTCGCAACTTGCCCTTTCGACACATTCATGAAAACGGTGTGTGACTGGAGGACTTCATCGATGTCTTTCTCCCTGGACATGTTAATTTCGTTGTGCAATAATTCGAAATGTCCGCTCTACTTACACTTGGTTTCTCCATGACACAACTTTGTTGCGATAACAGGCGATCTCGAAACGTTTTCCTCCTTTTTTTATTCGCACTACGGCAATATTCGTCAGTCTGATTTGGTTTGTTGGCGTGAATATTTTGGACATTTTTGAGGTTTTTTATTTGGATGCACATTTGACAGATCACGGAGTTCACGTATTGGTGTGTAGAGGGCGCAGGTTGCATGCCAAAAACCGTGATTGGTTAATTTCCGTGACGAGCCCTCTGATTGGTCGAACTGAAAGTATTGAACATGGAGCTGGATGTGACGTTTGTTGTCTTTCGTTTTGTCAAAAATATTTGAGTAATTTTTTTCGAAAAGTGTTTTTTTGAGGAGAGAACGGGACTGATGTGGCAGTGTTGTGACAATTGGGAGAAATGGCCCTAGTTACGGTGCAGCGGAGCCCCAGCACCAATAATTCACCAGCGAGCCTCGTAAGTCCCTAAATTTCCTCCCAGTCATTGTTTATATTTAGAAACACTTAAAAATCCAGCATTATTAATAATTGACGCGTCCACACCCCACACATTTAATTTAAATCGAACCCAATAGGTTGATATTTAATTAAGATCTTATCTAATCAGAGCCGCCGTAATCATAATTCATAAACCAATAATAAACGCTTCCATCTCCGTTTAACAATTAACAAACCCATCAATCGATCGCTTTTTTCCATAACAATAAAATCGCCTTCCTCAAAAGGCATAAAGCCACTGCTGTCACCTTTTCCGACCTGTTTATTCCCAACATGGACAATAACGGTACCAGGGTTTTTAGCACCGTGCGGTTGTCGTTATTGAGACTCCGATCGCATTCGCAGCTGTTCTGTCAGTTTGCTTCAGGCAGCCTCGGTGAATGCGTGCGTGCGTACAACAAAACCCAAATATTAACCACCCCCTTCGCGGCAATGTCTTGTGATTAGTTGGTGACGATGCTGTACATCCTGCCGCCCCCGAGGACCCCCAACCCGCCGTCTCCGTGGGAGAGCATCCTGTGTGCCGGCGGTGGCGGCGGCAGCGCCAACGGCGCCGCCTCCTGGGAGGGCAAGAGGAAGCCGCCGAGGGTGCGTTTGAGGAACTTGCCGACCAAGAATGATGTGAGTATGCCGTTGCGTCACTGAATGGGGAAGCGGAGTGTGGCGGTTTTTTTGCCGCCTCCGGCACGAGGAAGCGATCGAAATGCATTGGCTCTGTCCCAGGAATCGATAGATGTTCGACCGGTTTAGAGATACGATTTGCAATTCATTGATCGGAGGCTGGGAAGATGCGGTGATTAATGGTCGAGGGGCGGCTATGGGGTGAGAATGGGGTGCATTGAACTTTTGGATTTAAAGGTTTTGTTTTTAATTTTAAAGAACTTGGGAATCGTCGAAGTGGTTCAAGTTTATTGAATTCAGGTAGTCCACCCTGAATGGGTCGATTTTTTCGGTCTGTGTATATTCTTTTGTGTGATCATGATGTGCTCGCGCTTCAAATGATAAATTCATTGCCATAGACTTTGTGTGGATATTTGTACGTATATTTTGAAAATTTATTTTAAATATAATTGTGTTGGTAGAAAAATTAACAAGAGAATAGGGCAGATCGTGACGTTTTAAAATTTCACCCCTTTATTATTTACAATAATCTCATAATGTGAAATTTCAATTTAATGCTCATCTTTCTTTATTTGTTGATATGTAATTTAAAAAAATCTTATTAACTTGTTATACAACAATGTAATTGTTGAAAAATAATTAAGGTTTCTTTTAGTTTGTTAGATAATACCTATATGTAAGTCGTGTATTAAAAAAATGATAATAATAATAATAATTAATATTTGAGATCTTGCAAATCCAGATATATGTTATTAAAAAGAAATTTGATCGGTTTGGCAAATTCCTAGCCAAATACGCAATAAAAAGTTTAATCTTATCATTTTAGTTTACAGCGTATATGTATGTTATAGGAAAAACGTTTATATTATTCCTAATACATGCACTAATTAATCCCTGCCATATGTGTTGAAAAGTTTGAAACTTCCAGTAAATCTTAATTCCTTTAGTATTAATGTTAAAATTAAAAAAAATTACAAATTAACATGAAGGAAGTGATATAATTACAGTTTCGAAATTGTAATACATACGTAATTACAAAACGAGAATAATTAAGTTTTGTAAAGTGGGTAATTTTTTGCAAATTCAAAAAAACCGAAAATTTATGTTGCTTTCAAAGTATTCAGTAAAAACAAGTTATATAACGAATGTCGCCTTAGAAATATTAATATCGGGTTTCACCAAGGAAAGCTACCTTTAGTCTATTATTATTTGTTATAAAAATAATTTGTTGACATATTTCTTACTGTAACAACTTCAGCGTTACGACTTTATAAACATTTTATGAAAACAAAGAGGATTTAAAATTATTTGCATAGAATTTACCTCCACCGAAAGTACAATTAAACAATTAAAGTTTCATAAATAAAGCATAACATTTTTTTTTATGATAACCCGTGCATTTTTTCCAAAATTTATATAATTTATTAGTAAAATTTTGGCTTGATGTCATCATATTGGGTGGGGGTGGACATACAGATTTTTGTTAGCGTTTTACAGTTTACACTTCACAGCAATCAGTTCAGTCGTTTCGGATATATCTATATAATAAATCACTAACAGACGACAGACCGAAGTGAAAGATTTATATACCTACTTACGCTATTACTATTAAAATATTCGATACTACTAAATTTTTATTCATTCACAAATACCATCGCAAATAAAGTAGGCAAAAATAGGTTTCCCGTTTCCGTCTGTATGTCGTCTAACTGTCCGACAGATACATAACGTCCCAAACCACTGTTGTCAAATTTTATATGTACTGTAGGAATATAATGTGTATGATAAAACATCAACCAAAATTTTGTCCTCGCCAACAAATACTCCTATAGTTGTGGTTTATGAATCCGCCTTGATTTTTACCCTAGGCATGCAGATTTTCGTAAAAAAGGCCAATTGTATAATAAATAACGTTTTATATTAGACGGTTTTTTAAACTGTGGCTCTTTATTATCTATATATTTGTAAATTATAGAGGTTATCACAAAATTATATATATATATAATTAAAAAAAAGCGGGATTTGTGTGGTTTGCACTAAGCTTATCAGTTGGCAATAAATCATCTTCTAAACATTTCTTGCTTATTAGATTTAGATATTTAGTGAAAGCCGCCCCTGAACGAAACGACAGCAGCCGGTCGAGCTTCAGTAAACACGTTATTTACGACCCTAAAGCCTTTTCTATTGTAAACGACTTAACTTCCACACAATAGGATAATTTTAAGATGACCATATAACCTTATAGCTTTTGGTTTACTTTAAATATATTTTGCTTTTTTTTTATTAATATACGTAGTCGTCTTCTCACAACAAAAACTTTTGGTTTTGCCTTCTTAGCACACGACGAATCAAAAAAATCATCACAACAAAAACTCAAAACATGTTTAAAACGGTAAATTTTTGTAGGGAATTACAGATTTTGCAGTTATGTTTCGCCTCTCGATCGGCAACGATTAAAAAATTCATCACGAGATTAAGCCCCACCCATACCTGCCCCGACCTCAATAGTGATGAAGTTTTCATTTGTTGTTAGACCGAGGGGCGGAGCGTAATTGCAAAATCCGTATTTTCCTACAAAAATGTACCATTTTAAACATTTTTTAAGTTTCTTGTTGTGAAAAGATGACTACGTATATTAAGAAAAAAAGGCAAAACCCATTCGTCTCCATCTCAACCTGGCTTTAATTTTTACTTAATATACTTCGTATTTTTTGAACAACATGATACTCAAAAACATGTCTTACGTGGTAATTTTTCGTTATAATAAAAATCTTTAAAATGGCTTGAAAATTAAATATTCATAAGTTTTCAAATACTATAATGTACGTTCAACAAAAACTCAGACTTTTGGAAAAACTTTGTATTTCTGACGTGAGATTGTGAAACAACAAAATTAAACACCAAGAGAGGTTTCCGAGTGTAAGCTAAAAAAGTGTTGTAATGGGTCCATCTTGCGAATAGCTACTTTCATGTTTTCTTGGCGTTTCATGATCCCTAAAGCCTTCGATTCCGTCTGTCTGTAGCGATTTTTATTAGGGATCTTAAATTTCCAAACCTATTTTTGTTAAATATTATGTCTGTTAGGAATATTTATAGATGCTAAAAAGCTCATCTGATCACCCCCATCAACAATTTGGTGAGGTCACCTCAGAATTTAAATCACCATTTAAATTTATACTTGTAGTTTATGAATGCGGCTTGAATTTTTATCCTAGACAGTCAAATTTTCTCACAAAAAAATCCAAATTATGTAATTTTATTTTATACCAGTAGGTATAAGAGCAACTCGAGCATAAAATTAATAAGGGAGAGGTCGCCGGTTCGACTCCTCATTATCTATTTTTTTTAACATACAGCGATTGCCATAAAATAAAAAGAAAAAGCGATTTGGTGGACTATACATCAAGGGCGAGAGAAGTTCTGTCTAAATAATCTTCGACCAATTTTATTAATGAACTAAATTTTTTTTTATTTGTTATGTAAGTAAAGTAAGTTTTTGATATAATGGATACTTTGATTCTCGAACTAGGAGAGAGACTCAATGTCTTTGAGAATAACATATGTTCAATTTTCTGGTCTATTACTTACCTGCATGGTTTTCCTTAATTATAAAAAAATAATGCACATCATAAAGTTATATAAAAATCTGTTTCTTCAAGTTATATTACACAGTCTATTTTGTGGCATGACCTTGGCCTTCGAAATTTTCAAATCTGTAAGTAATACAAGCTCCTAGATTCAATCTTAATACCATATTCAGACACAAATATGTCTTCCCAGATGTACAGGTAATAACGAAAAGGGTTTTATTTACGGTTCATGTCTTTATAAGAAATTTAGTTTTCTACCTGGAATTAGGACTACCTGAGGATTCAAATCTATAATCCTTTCCGAGAATATTAGATAAATTGCCAATTTGCTTTTACAAACACGGAAATTTTATTGCCCTGCACAGGTAAAGAGAGTAATAAATAATTGTAAACTTAATCCCTAACCGGCACTGTACCAGGAGCAGGTAGAATCCGGTGCCAGGGGTGTGCTTGTAAAATTTGACTGGGCCGTCACACGTTTAAAACTTGTAAATATTTGACAGCTGTACCCCTCATAATCACGTCATAAAACTATATTACTTTAATCATTATTGCATTAGCTAAGTCTTTTTTCACTCGTAAATCAACAACTGTTTCGCCCAAGGCGTCAACCATCAATCCAAACACCACAATCCTAATTTTGTTGGGTGCCGCTCAAAAAATTCAATTCTCGATTTTATAGAAAGCACAGTTAACGCAGTAACTGTTACCGACCTTTTTACAGCTATAAATAATGTCAATGATGGATAATTTCAACTGGCAGTGACTTTTTCATCGGGCCGTGTATTTTTGTGCACCGTAACACAATATTGCAACAACAAACTCGACCAAATCCGAATTCTTCTCACAGCTACTACCGATCCAATTAACCTAGATCGATTTTTGGATATCGCCCAAAACCGCATCGATCTACATCCATCATCATCGTGTGCGGCAAAAAAGAACACCGTGAGATCAACTCTGGTGCGAAATTGCAAGATCAGACTCGAAATTACCGTAACGAATCTTGTGCTTCCTTTTGGCACTGTCACATCCTGTAGAAAGAGTACAAAAGTCAAACTTACTGTAAAACGATCTCGTCTAAATTCGTCGCTGGTATTTCGTACATTTCCTAGATAAATAATCTCCGATGAATCACCATCGTAAAAGGATAACGTTCGGTTTTGGGAAGTTTGGAATATGGGATTTGGTTTGGTAGCGACAAAGCAGGCAACGGGTGGATGATGCTGATGATGATAATACCTCTGAGTAATCTTGCTAATTTGTTACCCTGTTAAACTGATAAGGGATCCGAAGGGAATGAGTCATGGTAAAGAGAAAGTTATTAGGGAATAGGATGGTAATTAGAGAGCGGGTGTAACAAAATGGTCAAGGTTACAGTGACAAGCGGTATGTTTACATAAGTGATAA